AAAAAAAAACAACCGCTTTTTAACTCGAAATAAGTTATCAAAATTATCGTGACTGAGCCTTGAGCATTTCTCCTATGCCAAAAAAAGCTCCCTTCAGATTTGTTCCCTCGAAATTTTGGGGTTGTACTAGCCAGTGGTTGCCATAAAACTGATGAGTTGCAGTAAAGTAGTTAGAAGCTGAAGAGCTTGCTCTGATGAGAATTGTCAGACGCTTTCTTGATTCTAATAGATGCCGATATATGAGAGCTTTTTATGCAGTGGTTTTGGACTGACATGGACTGACATTCCTGGGAGCTTTTCATATTGCTATTTAGTACGTCAACCATTGTATCTGAAAACTTTCTGAACATTCTGTGGCTGCTGTGTGAATAGACATTTCAGTGTTATTTTTATTATGGTGTACACAAATGAAAGCTGAGGATCACAATTGAGAATCATCAATATCCTGAGGGTTGAGCGGGAGCGACCTGCGGGACTGGGTCGCAGTGTGGAGCTGGGGCTGGCTGCTCGACGGGAACTGGTCCTTGTTCAACAGGGGCGGGAGCAACTGGAGCTGGGCCTGGAGCTGGAGCTACCTGCTCGTCTCCGTAGGCGTTACGCTTGGCTCTGTAACCTGAAGGTTGGGCTGGTGCTGCAGGTTGGACTGGAGCACAGTCTGGAGCTGGGGCTGGCTGTTCGACGGGAACTGGTCCTTGCTCAACAGGGGCAGGAGCAGCTGGAGCAGGCACTGGGGCGGGAACGACTTGTTCGTCTCCATAAGCGTTACGCTTGGCTCTGTAGCCCGATGGTTGAGCTGGTGCAGCGGGCTGAGCTGGAGCACAGTCTGGAGCTGGGGCTGGCTGCTCTACGGGGACTGGTGCTTGTTCAACAGGGGCAGGAGCAGCTGGAGCTGGCACTGGGGCGGGAACGACTTGTTCGTCTCCATAGGCATTACGCTTAGCTCTGTAGCCCGATGGTTGAGCTGGAGCAGCGGGCTGAGCTGGAGCACAGTCTGGAGCTGGAGCTGGCTGCTCGACGGGGACTGGTCCCTGTTCAACAGGAGCGGGAGCAACTGGAGCTGGGCCAGGAGCAGGAGCTACTTGTTCGTCTCCATAAGCGTTGCGCTTAGCTCTGTAGCCTGAAGGTTGGGCAGGTGCTGGCTGAGCTGGAGCGCAGTCTGGTGCTGGAGCTGGTTGTTCGACAGGTACTGGAGGCTGCTCAATGGGAGCGGGAGGTCCAGGTGCTGGAGCAACAGGAGCTGGAACGACCTGCTCGTCTCCGTAAGCATTGCGCTTGTGAACTGAAAAATTAATAAGTTCCTTCCCTTGGCATGCATAATTATAAGACAAATTGCATCGAATTGCAGAGTTACTGGAAGAACTTACCAGATTTGGAAGTAGCGAGCGCCACAAAGGCAGGGAGGAGGAGGACGAACTTCATTGGGGGCAATGCTACTGCTTTACCATCCGAGTTGCCTTTTATACCATGCCCGAGTGACCTTTCAAATGGGTAAAACCGGATTTCATCGCTGCGCACAGTCCCCGCAGCTTTCTCGAGTAGCCAAAGATTGCAATTGAACCACAATGATGCCTGCCCCAATGTTTCCATTCCGAAACTTTACTAACTTAATCGAAATTTTTGTATAAAGTACGAAAATTCCTGACTGATTTGTCAGTTTCAAAATCTTTACATGACAGCTTAGAAGCTGGACTTACTGAGTAAATTCTCTGCAGTTAATTCGATGAGTATCTACCGGAACCTAAGTAGTAAGCATAGCAAATAATATACCATTCGCATTTTCTGAGTGGGAACATACAAGCTTTACATCCCCTGAATGTAAAGTGAAGTTGCGTGGGAGTTAGGAACCCCAATAATTCGGTTTTCTTAGAATGACAGGTCCATGTTTTCCTGAACTAGACACCTTACCACGCTGTTCATGAAACATTTCATTGGTTTCTGTCAAAACCCTGCAATTGCTCTTTCGAGCGCTGTTCTGAGAAAGATGGAAAGTTTATTCATTCGAATACTTTATGTTACCTTCCTCTTTTGAAATGAAACTCTTACGACTTCGGTACATGGTGGCTCAATACGGTCAATACTCTTTGAAGATGGTGTCTACTGCTCTGCTCTCCTCCAAGTTTGCTCTCGACCAGTGAAGGAGCCCTATGACATAGCTGACGGCGGTACTCATCTGTCCCAATCGGGAAGTGAACTTTTCGAGAGTCCGACAATTTCTCTGTAGAAACCTAGGAAGATACTTAATTTTGCATACCATTCAGAATACAACTTACCAGTTTAGCTCAATTTCGTGACAAACTCATCACAGCTTTCGAATGACCATTTCTTCTAAAATGCCTTTGTAAAATGCGCTTCGGGCCAACAGTGAGCATGAACGTTGCAATCTAGACTTGGAAGAGTTTGATGGAGGAACCGGTGATTGACGAAGTAGCTGAACTATTACACATTTTGGGTTACTTGATTCTTTTAAAGGGGTGAAAATGTAGTTGGGGGGGGGGCCACCTATCACAATGTCGGTATATCAAGAAATGAACTCAATGAAACGCGTTATGTCGTGTTATATCACGGACATGCCAGTTTTTAAAAAAGGGCTCTCGTAGAGAAGGAGCACCGCGGTGGGCAAGTTTTCTTTCTCTTTTCTTTTTTTTTTTTT